CAAAAAATTAAAAATTCTACACACAATATTTTAAAATTCTGCATATTTTATTTGTCAAAATAACACCATAACACAATATATAATTACTCCATTTTCAATTATTTGCTGACAAGTATTTTGAAATAAATTACTAAAATAATTGAAAATGGTGTAATTATAATATTGTGTTATGGTGTTATTTTGACAAATAAAATTTGCGGAATTTTTAATTTTTTGGCACAGAATTTTTAATTGCTGTTGTAGAATTCCCTCAAGAGTACCAGAGTTCTGTGTGGCGCAATCTGGGTGTGGGCAGCTCAGTGGGGTTGGGGGTGGGGAGGAATCTGGATCCATAGGGGGGGCTCATTGGGGGTGTTCTGGGTGCAGGGGGGAATTGGATCTGCAGGGGAGTCTAAATGAAGGTGATTAGGGCTCAGTGGGGGGGATGAGGTGGGGGGCAGGGTGCAGTTGGTTGGAGCTCAGTGGTGTGGGGGCTTCTAATGCAGGGGGTAAAGCTTGGGAGGGGTTGGCAGGGGGCTTGATGGAGGGGTTCTGGATGCAAGGGGCTCCCAATGTGGTGGGGTTGGGGTGGGGAGCTTCTGAGTGCGGTGATGTGTGTCCAGATGCATGGGGGTTGGGCGGACAGGGGGAGCAGCTCCATGTACAGTGACCCACTGCCCTCATAGGTGAGGAGTGATGGGGCCAGGAAGTGGGGGGCAGGATCACTGTATGGGAGCTGCTCTCCCTGTCCGCCCAACCCCCATGCATCTACCCCCACCCCTCCGACGTTTCTGGGGGTTGATCTGACCCAGCCCCAGCTGTTCCATGCAGGGGACGGGGAACTCCATTGTCCTCGTCCTCCCCATCCAGCCGGGCATCCCCAGACCTCCTGTTCCCCCCCCTCCAGGGAGGAGTGAACGAGCACTGGTGCAGCTTTTCTTTGCTTCCCCACAAAAACTATTTTTCTGCGGGAAAGCAAAGAGACTCTGGGGGGGGACGGGGGACACATGTTTCTGCATGCATGCAGTGGTGCAGAAACCCTCCAAAAGTAAAAAACACAACTCCCTTGCTGTAGTAGATAACTTGGAGCTTTCACTTTGAACATTGCTCTAGGAGTAGTTATCTATTAACTTATCAGAGAATGGTAATTACAGATAGGAAATTTTCTGGGCTCTACAGTTATCTGTTAACCACAAAGGGAAAAAATAAACTAGCCACCAGGTCAGATTCGAATGCTCCTGTAATCAGTTCTCAGCCATTTTATCCCTCTCACAAATGACTTGATGCACTGTTGCAGGCTCAGCGGTCATATTTGTAAAACTTGATAGATTTAAACTGTATTTAAATCAGTACTAAACAGGGAATATGTAGTAATGAGAGTTTGATTTGAAAATATTCAGAGGCTCTAATGCAGGACAAAAGGGAACAGTGCCCCTACATAATTAAAAAATCTTTGAACTGTGACAATTTATAGTGAATACCAGAATTCAGATCAGCCAATTGTTTTGCTTTACATTTTTCCACATTTCTAAAAATTATCTATTTCAGAGCAATTCATGATGTTAAAGCCACAGACATGGGATTGAGCAAAGTGAGATTCAAGGCAGAAGTAGACTTTGATGGACGGGTTGTGACTCGTTCTTACCTGGAAAAGCAAGACATTGAACAGCTGCTACAAGTATGTTTAATAAAGCAATATTGTTACTTCCAGCATTTTTTTCTTTCCCATTATCAAGCATATTAAAAGAAAAATTTGCAAGTAGATAGGGTATATTGTTTTGCATTTATATAGCTCCTCATCCTGAAGGATCCCAGATGGCCTTACATATTTAACACACTGATACAAAGTATACACAGAGATCATACCATCAGTCTCCACCTCTGGGCTCAAATAGCAGTAGTGTATAGCAACACTACAAAACCTTCGTAGTACAAGAAGTGTAAAAAAAAA